TGAGGGGAATGAGGGGTTCCTGCCCGGCCAGGATGCACAACTGGTGATGTGCCCTGCTCTCCCTGGTGGCCCTCTCCAGAGAGTTGTCTAGGACCAGGGTTCCTGCCGCACATGGCCTGCACCCTAAGTTTGCCCCTACTGAGAATCCTCCCAGGCATGCAATGATGAGCTGTTTGAATACAGTGAGGGGTGCCCAACTCGCTACACCCAGCTACTGCTGATTGCCATGGTGTCCCAGGCACAGCTGAGAACGTGGCACAGGGCTCTGAGCTTTGATGGCACCTCAGGCAAGCCTGTGCTATCCTACAAGGTGTGTCACCGGGTGGAGGGGTATCTCTGCCTGTGTTAAGAGTCCCTGACACCCGCAGCTGAGAAATAGCTCTCCGCTGCCATTGACGAGTTTCTCTGCAAGTCACAGGCCCACAGTTGGTTGCCTAACTAGGAGGTCACAACCTGCTCAATAAAGTTCTGAACTGCCTCCTGCCTCCCCGCATGTTGGAGCAGGAAAGTCCGGGGAGCAAGGGGGAGCTTGGCCAGGCAGGGCAGGGAAGGAATGGTGGGAGGGCCACTCCTGCTGCAGGTCCTGACTCCAGGTGTGCAGCCAGGGGGCAGGTTAGGTCACCTGGTACGGACACGGGTGGCTGCAGTGCGTTGTTTCCCCCCCGCTCTCCTCCCTGTTGGGGCTTACCAGAAGGGCATGGCAGGCGGTCTGACTCCATCCCTGGTGGCGGTGAGGTGGTCCAGCTGCCTGCAGTTTCCTGGGGCACAGCAGAATAGCACCTAGCTGCCCGGGCAGTGGCCCCCTCTGGATAGGAGCTGGAGTTGCTCATCACAGGGGCCATCCCTGGCCTGGCCTCTCTGCTTGGGCTGCATGGCCTGAGTTAGCAGGAAGGCACAGGACTGGGCTGCTTGCACTGCCAGCTGAGGGTAGGGAGAGCGCCTGGTCCTGCTGCTGGTGCCCCAAAGGGTACTCTCCTGGAGGGTCCTTGTCAGCACTGGCCCACAGTGCTGGCTCCTGCAGCCCATCTGTGCTGCAGATGTCATACTTTCATTCCTACATGCACTACAAATTAATTTCTGACTGGTCCAACAAGGCTTATTTACCTTTACCTGCTCCACCACAGAAAGCACCACTGAAGCCACTATTTTTTTTTCACAGCACTGTTACTTCAGTTGGCTAAAGCATTAAGAGCTTCCATTTTGTACAAGCCTTGAAAAACATTAAAGGCCTAGGTAGATTGCACACTTCACAAAAGTTTTCAAGGTTTAAAACAAAAATAAAAAAGTACTTACCTCTATAGTGAAATGTTCTCCAGTTGAACATGTTCTAAAATACTTTGATCTGGAAAAGAAAACAAGTTACATTGCATAAAAACAGTTCTGTAGTTTAGCTTCTCTCAAATTACGCTAAAATTGTATTTATGGAAGAGTGAAACCAGGTCTGATAACTAACAGTTTAATGATTTATTTTGGATACTTTGAAATGCAAAATACATTAAAGTCTAATTTAAATAAGTTAGATAAATTGACTTAAAACTTCTTAAATTATTTTTAAAATTATTTATTAACATATGCATTATAATAAAGCAGAAGTAAACTAGAATATGAAAAAGGTACTTGAAGAAAAAAAGGAAGGGAGCAATGGAAGTAATTCCACCTTTGCTGGGAAAGGATTTATCAGGATGTTGATCTCTGCATCTGCTGTCATTTAGCATTTTTAAGCAGCTTCAGTAAATCTGACATAACTCCTTCTCAAAGCAGATCATTTTAGCCAGCCTCTGAAAAGCTGACAGCTCATATGACAGTAATTCATTGCATCTGCTAGAGTAGTGTCCCATGTAACAAATACCAGCCTGAGGAAACATGTCTCTGACAGTCTGACATAGCTGGAGGGTCAATCTTGTAGGTTCCTTGTTTGTATAGAAATAGGACTGATTTATTAAAAAAAGCATACACATACAAGAAGGTAGGTCAGAATCATATGACTTGCTAGTTGCCCATGGATCACAATTTGGAAACCATTTTACTTTCTTTTTTTTATTTAAGCAGAGGCTGGTTGAAGCATAGCAACCACAGGAATCCAAGATCTCCCTCAGCTCCCAGGAAATAGCCGTAATGTACTGAAAGAAGGTTTTTCTTTCTAAAATTAAGGAATTAAACTTATCATACTATGCAGTTTCCCTAAGGCTTTCAACCAAACTTTTTTTCACCCCCAAAACAGAAGGTAGGATCTAGGATGGCTGGCAGAGAACGAACATTTTTGGTAGGCTGTATTTAGGTAATTCCTGTTAGAATTTATAACACAATGGTTTTCAACCTTTTTTCATTTGTGGATGCCTAAAAATTTCAAACAGAGGTACAATTATAAGGTACTTCAATAAGTATTTGAATTATAACTTTGAATTATGAGTATTCACATATTTCTGATTGATCATAGTCATCTTTCAGGCACCCCTTAGTCTGCAGATCCCCAGGGGTCCATGGGCCACAGGTTGAAACCACTGACCTAATACTTCTGTTGCCTGCCCTGAAATAAATTCTAATGCAATTTAAAATAACTGCTACAATTCATTGTCAGGGCAACTTTTTTTAGCTTTTCAACATGTTTTGCAGCACAAAGAAAGCATGCACACACAAATATGTGGTTAAAAAGATAAGGGGGGGAGGGGTCAGAATAAAATTAAAGGGAAAAAAACCAAGCTGGAGCCAAAATTCTTTCAAACAATGAGATGAAGTAGGCTATGGACGGGGTTTCTAGGAATAATAAGAGGACAGAGCTATAGCATTAAAAATTCAGCTGGTCACAAATAAGACACAGTCCAAGTAAATGATTCAAGTCCTTGAACTGGGATGGAAAGAAAGCATAAACCATAGTGATGCTTAGAATTCAACACGGTCATATATTGCCACTCTCAAGGCATGGTCTTTTGCCAAGCCTCAGCAGCAACTAATGGCTAATTCAGTAGCCATTTATAATTGTGTGAACAGCATAAGCCATTTCCCATTGATCTCTATATGAAAGGCACCACTTAAGCTGCATTAAGCCAGCCACCAAGTTGGTACAGACATAATGGGTAATCAGAGGCTCATACCTCTTTATAGTGCAATTACCTTGTCATTAAGAAGGCTAGTAGACTTTAAAAATCAACTGGATCTCCATGACTACTAGTCATTTTCTGGCTGCTCCTAGTAGTTTTGAAATCAAGAACTACCAGCAGCCCTGGCACCAACTACCAGCCAATTTCAGTGTTTTCCCCTTTCCAGATAAGTCTGTGGCTGAAAAGCAGGCATTGCTACATAGTACTGAACTGGGTTACAAGGTTTAACCATCCACTGTGCAATACTGGGCAACTAGCCATTTACCAAATGAGGCTTCTATAAGCAGCTAGACAATGTTTCATACACAACTTTCTAATTTACTGAAATTCCAGCAGCCAGGAAGCCAAACTATTTGACCAAGTTATAATCTACCACCAGAGTTTTCACAGATTCATAGATGTTAGGGTCAGAGTCCAACCCCCTGACCTGGGCAGGAAAGAGCACTGGGGTCAGTTCGAAGCCATTTTAGTGCCTTTGAAAATAGCACACTTGGGTGCCTAATTTTTTTCCTAGTTTTGAACATTGTGGTCTATGTATATTAAAATATTTCAAAATACATTGAATGGACTGAAAACAAAGAAAATGTTTAGTAGAAGGTTTTATGCAACTACATTTTTAATAAAGACACTCGCATAAACACTTATGCAGCTTATGCTATTAAACACAAAAGTGACCCACTGAATTTAATAGGCCTTATGCAAATAGCTACATAGAATCAAGCCTTAAATTTACAGTATTTTGTTTTGTGCCAGTAGCAACTCTTGAAAAGTTCAAATGAGATAATTGGGCAGTAATGGCAATCTGTAGGTACATTATGGCTATTTGCTGGGAGCTGAGGGAGATCATGGATTCCTGTGGTTGCTCCGCTTCAACCAGCCTCAGCTTAAATAAAAAAAAGTAAAATGGTTTCCAAATTGTGATCCATGGGCAACTAGCAAGTCATGTGATTCTGACCTACCTTCTTGTATGTGTATGCTTTTTAAAATAAATCAGTCCTATTTCTATACAAACAAGGAACGTACAAAGGATCTTTAAGGTTCAATTTGCTACATTTTAACTAGAAGTTGCAATACTGCAAGTAATCAAATTAATTTAACAAAGTCTTATCAAGGCTGAAATCATTTTTTTAATATCAAGTGATTAAAAAAGAAAAAACTCTCCACCCTGTTTTTATTTCCAAAGCAGCTTTTAATAATGGTCTCTTCCAGAATCCAACCTCTTATGCAGTAACCCTCAATCTTCCAGCCTTGTATAGGTTGGTCCACAGGACAGATCTTGCTGTGGAACAACCCATGTGCCAGCAGTCTAGCCTGCAGGGCTTCCTATGGGTCCAAAAATTTGGCAGTAGGGGAACAATGGCAACATTAATTGCCATGGCTTTCAGTGACATCTACTGGAAGTTGCAGTAATTCATGCTGCCACTGCTCCTCAACTGCCAAATTTACGGTCCAGTGGGGAACACTGTGAGCTGGGTGACGTAAGCCCCACAGGCTGGATTCAGCCCATAGGCCACAGGTTGAGCACCACAGTTCAATTTAGAACCAAAGGATAGGTCAAAAAACCACACAAAAGGCAATCTAGTTCCTGGGTCTGCTGTTGCTGTACAGGCTTCATTTAAAAAAAGACAAATAATTTGGGATACTGAGAACTATAAAAATCCTACTACAGTTACTGAAGGCAAAAGTACAAAAAAGGAAAAGTGGTCCCTTCTCCCTACCTTGGCACTTAACTAGTTGAGAGGGAACATGTATTATGATCAGCAATATATTTATTTATTTGTCAGCTTCCTTTGTTTAAAGGATATGGATATATTTTGCTGTTTCCAGAAGAAACTCCTAAGGGAAAGTTACACTGCTGCTGCATATTAGAGACTACAAAGACTAAGTATCAACTCCTTTCAGCTCAAACAAGAACACTACAGAAATTAAACTTTTCAACATAGGCAGTCAGCCAACTAAACTTTTGGAGTGTAAACATTACAAGAATCACAACGTTCACACATACACTTTGTTAACCTGACCATCTAGAAAAGTAGAAACACACTCTGTAAAATCTTCTTTGAATTATACATGCAGGGGAATTTCAAATAAAACTTATTATTAAAACTACCTGTGCCAGAACATGGCATTAAAAACAAACATCCCCCCCCCCAAAACTCCTAACCCAAGAAACGCTCCAAAAATATTTTAAATGATTTTTAAACACAGACTCTTCTGTCATGTTTCAGTTTTGGGTCTTGGCGGGGAGGGGATGGTATTCAGTAGCAAAAGGAACCAGATGCTCCAATTATATTTATTCCTCCACAGCTGTATGAAGTCACCCCTCTAGAACACTGATTCTTTACCAATGCCTCATGCAATTCTTTTAAGAGTACTTAGCAATATTAGCACTGTTGGGTGTACAAACACCTATGTATGATCTACAAGATCAACCCAAAGATTTTAAATAGGAGTCCATAGTGCCAAACACATTCTGACCTGTTGCAGTCTGAGTTTTTTTGCAACAGAATTGCTCTATTATTTTTAATAAATATTACTACTTTAAAAAACGAATGAAAGCTGAAAGCCAATACTTTAATGTATCATGTCTAAAATGGTTGAGCGTCACTGTTCTAGAAGTAAAGAGAAAATGCTTATTATAGAGGGTAGTGACAAACTGATCTACTTTCAGCTCCAGCTGTTACCACATGACCAGTGCCAGAGCTGCTATGCACTGTGTTCCTAGTGCTGCAGTGGCAGCTCCAGCTGTGGTCCCAGCATAGGACATGAAGTAAGGGCTGGTAGCTGGGGAGGTAGTATCACAGTAGCAGCAGCAGAGAAGTGGCTGGAAGGGGTGGGGGGCACTGTATTAGCCCTCATTTGCCAATCGCCATGTTCACTAGGGCCCAAGAAAGCCTGATTCTGCAGCAGGCCATGCCCCCAGTTTCTGGTGGGTGCCAGTAGCCAACAGGCTGGATAAAGCAGCTTTGGGGGCTGGATGAGGCTAACAGGCCCCCCCGTTTGACACTTCTGCTGTACACTATAAGGGATAAAACAATTCTTACACACAGTGTGTCCCAGAATCATAGGTTTGGAAGAAATCCCACGGATCATCTAGACCAGGGATGTCCAACTCAATTGAGTTGGCAGGCCACAAATGGTTCAATCATGGCAACAATGGTTTTAACGCCTTCACCACCAGCACTAACAAAGTGGCTCTGGCTGCCAAAGCATGAAGCCTCATGGGTCAGATCTCTGGGCCAGCTCA